ATTTACATAGTGCATATTAATGAGAAAGTATTTTGAATCATTCTGATTAGAAACGTATAAGTCTTATTTAATAAATGAAATAACAAACAAATGGCAGCCAGCACTCATAAGTGCATATTAATATTTCCGGAATATACATTTTCATTCCAAAATTATTTATAAATAAAAATCAAATGAAAGAATTAATGAGTTTATAAGAGAGAGTGGGAGCAAGTATTTTTACTATATATAAATATTTAAAGAAAGATTTTACTAGTAATGTATGGAGGAATAATAATAAGTAGTATATATATATATATGAAGATGATTAATATAATTTTTTTATTTATTATATATAAAAGTAGAAAGATTATTTTTTTGGAATAAAAATGTATAGTTTTGGTACATAAATGAAACAATTTAAGAGGCTTGCCTGCACTGAAAAGTGCATATGAAAATCGCAGTAAGTACAAACATACCTGCTACATGCAGTCGAACATATCTGCTAAATGCAGTCGAACATACCTGCTAAATGCAGTCGAACATACCTGCTAAATGCAGTCGAACATACCTGCTAAATGCAGTCGAACATACCTGCTAAATGCAGTCGAACATATAGTAAGAATATACATTTCTCATTCAGAATGATCAAAAATGAATGAACGAGTGCACTGATAAAAGTATTTAATAAATAAATATTAGAAATATTTTAATCTTCGTAATATTTTTTTTTAATTACAGAAATTTATCTAATAATAATTAGAAAATTTCATTTTAATCTATATATAATAATTGATTTATATTTACATAGTGCAAATTAATGAGRAAGTATTTTGAATCATTCTGATTAGAAAGGTATAAGTCTTGCTAAAGCGAATGAGAATACACAAAAGTACAGCCAGCACATGCGAGTGCATATAAATATGTCAAGGGTGTGCATTTTGATTCTAAAATTATTAACAAATAAATATCAACTTTGTATATAAGAAATATTTAAAGAAAGTATTTTTATTAAATATATGTATTATATTATGT